TGTGATCCCACCAGTAGATTACTCCATATTGGTTGCCAGTAAAAGTAACTGCTTATGTTATGATTCAAACCCCCCTTCAGTTGTGGGTGCCAAAACTCTTAAGGCAGATCTGACACATTTTCAGTCCGTGTTCCTTCACATCCAGCCGTGGCCAGAGCTGGATTCTCATCTGTTTTCACCACCCCCACGCACCCAACCCAGAGTAAAGCCTTGCATTTTAATATAAGCCTTTATAGCGAGTCAGCCAGATCACTTGGTGCAGCTTTTGGTATGTTACATAAGTTATTTCTGCACTTGAGCCCCTTTCCCTCCCAGACAGCAGACATAGGAAGGGAATGAGTGTAGGGATTAGTTGGAGTGGTTTGTTGTCAAATTGGAGGTTTCCTGCAGTGTGAGCGGCACATAAATGCAACATTTTCTGTCCATGTCAAGTGACTGGAAGCCCTGTCAGACTCCAACACTGCTGAGAATTCATTTGACCATGTTGTTAGGTCAGTTAAGGACAACTCGGGCCATGTCCAGTCTGTAAAAACATGTCTTTGGTTGAGTGGAACCAATGTTCCCACTCTGATTGCAGTTCACTCGGATCTGTGAGCATTATAGTGGCTTCAGATGCTTTGGTTGTAGTGGAAGCGCAGATGTGTCAATCCAGCCAGTTGCTCCGATGAAGAAGTTCAATTTAAATAAGTTTAGCCTATTTATGTCAGGGTGTATTCTAAAGCATATTCAACGATTTAATGTTATTCTTCATTTGTTTGTGATGGAAAAACTGTGTGGTCTTTCCTTAAGTTCATGACAAAATGAAAAGAGTTGAGCTGAGACAAATAAGCTGCTTTTAGACATTTTCATGAAAATGTCCAGATAATTGATTAATTGACATTCACTGATTCCACATTCTCTATTGTGAGAATTTATTTTATTTAATATTTCTAAAATTTTCACAATTGTATGACACTTTGTATTACTCATTATTAATTGGTTTATTAAGGAGCAATCTAAACGTAATTGAGAATTTAAAATGTTTTGCTGCAGCCCTGGAACACAGTGAGGTAGCATTTTATCAAAATGGAAATATGTCTTCAAGTCAGTTTAATTCCTCTTGAAACCTTAAACATTTGCAAGATACTATGAAATGCACATTGTGCATTTCTTCATGCCCATGAGCATGTAACCCAGGCAAAAGCCAGGACACAGTGTCCCTAATTCCAGCCTGATGTGATGACAGGTATTATGTATATGTGATACAAACATGTCTGGATCTTGTTTTAAAGGATCTATATCTCTTCGTTATTTGAAAGACTGTGTGTGTGTGTGTGTGTGTGTGTGTGTGTGTGTGTGTGNGTGTGTGTGTGTGTGTGTGTGTGTGTGTGTGTGTGTGTGTGTGTGTGTGTGTGTGTGTGTGTGTGTGTGTGTGTGTGTGTGTGTGTGTGTCACAAACTCTTGGAAAGGCGGCAGGAGCTCAGGGTGTTTTTTTTCTCTTGGGCAGCCGTGTTACGGGGCAGTGACCCATATAGCCTTATGTCTAAACCTATATTTAACTTTAACTCCGTCATGGCATTTCACTTTGGATTCTTACCGCCCAAACCTAGACATCAGATCACACAGGACTTTGGATAGTGGAGCACAGCCATGAACAAAAATGGATGCGTGGTTATTATAACAGTTTTAAATCAAAATAATGTATTTCTATTATTAAAGCAGCCAAATGTAATTAGTAACCTTAATAACTTTCTTGAAAGTAAATTGTCCACAACCTGCAGTTTACATGTGTAGAATATATTTGGAAACAACGTTGTCATGATTTTACATGATAGGTGGTGAACATTTATCATGTTGGAGCACGTAAGTCAAATTACAAATCAAAGATTCATGTACATTTCAGAGCTAAATATCAGAGTTGTCTTCACCTTATTTTCTGCAGCCTGTTCAAGTCCTCCCTTGTTAACCTATTTAAACTTGTAAGATAACGGTCCTTCGATAAGCTGTGCACCTGTGCTGTGCTCTGGTGAGACCGTGACCTCTTGACCTGAGGCTGACCCAGTACCTGCCCTCTGGCCTTGTGGGTAGCGGTGTTGATGGATGTTCTCACACTGGTTGTGGCAGGCCGCTTATCTCCAGAGGAGCGACAAGGACAGAAGAATGGTGGTGAAATGTAGACAGCAGAATCTGTGTTTCCAGTTTGGAGTATAGCTGGTTTATAAAACCACTTTAACTGCTGCATCATACATCAACCTATATATAAAGATGGACGACATATCTTCACTTCCTCCCACTATCCAGAAATGAAAATTAGACTTTGAGAGGGAACCCTGGCTGACCTCTGTAAACTTGTCAGACTCTTCCAGGAGACAAGGAGATTTCTGCTCTTGATAGGTAAACAATAGGTGGTGAGCTTCTAGTCGCCTATGAGCGGACCCTGTCGGACTCCAGTGAACCTGTTGTCCTCTGAGAAGAGCTTCGAAAACAGTGGCTAATTTGGAAAGTGTAGAAAAATGCCTAAATGTAAGAAAGGGGTTTACCTGTTGTATTATTAGAAGACAAAGTTTCTTAGTAAGACAGTTTCAAGCCTTAATGTTTCCAGGGACAAAGCTGGAAAAGTTTTGTTGTGTGAAGACAATGGCTGACTCCCTGTGGATGAGTGGATGACTTCCCGAGACAGAGGACTAACTCAGCATGCAGGTGCTCCTCACACTCCATTCAGACCTACACATAACTATGGTTACCATTGTCCCTCTCCCAAATCCTTCCGCTTCAGCTTCCCCCCCTTCTCACAAGCCCAGACACACCCATACACAGTGGACTGTGAGAGTATATTCACGCATGACTGACACCACCACAAACACGTACCTGCCAATAATGTTTGTTTGTATGTGTGTGTGTCACTGTAAAAACACCCCCTGTTGTGATGTTATGCTGCTATTATGCGTTTAGCTCTATGTGACGTTTATTTCTGTGTGAACTGGATGTCCCACTGTGTCTCTGCATTTATGGACAAAGGGGCAACAACAGTGTTAAGTGCAATTTAGGCCACAATCAGAATCTTTTGGCTATGTGTGTCTGCGCAGTGTTTAAAGTGTGTGTGTGTACAGTGGTTTGTTCTGTGTGTGGGTGTGTGTGGTGTGCAGTGGTTTTATGTTCTGTGTGTGGGTGTGTGTGCTGCGCAGTGGTTTTGGTTTTGTAATCAGATTGTGTGTTGGCTGAGTTGCCGGGCTGTGGAAATGATAACCATCAGTATTGGCTTGTTTTTTGGCTATCTGCTCAGGCTTAAAAAGCTGCAATAGATTATGATCATACTTGGATTTGAGTTCACATATAGAGTGCTGTAGTGTGACTGCATGGTGCGGTTGTTAGCCACCACCAGATGGAGACATTTCCTTTTAGTATTTATAGGTACTTTATTGTACCTATTAAATTTTAATTGTGTTTTATAGCCTCCTTTTATTGAATTGAATGTATCAATTTCCATCTGAAGGCTGAACTTTATGTACCTTGAGTCTTGTCCTGTTTTCCCCTCTACTTGTCTCGCAGTCTATACCATTAAACTCATTCTACCTCACATCCAAGCTGATTTAAGTATCACATTCGCTTGTGCTCACCTGGCAGGTTTTTACCACTCGTGACTCTCATGATGTTTGCTAATCTGTGTGTATCGCTTTATATGCCTCTTATCTTTTTATCTGGTGTCCACTGTGCTTACATCTGTCTGTGTTGACTGTCAGGTATTACCTCTGGGCCCATCTGTGCCCTGCTCTTTGCTCCTCTGCAGCTTTAACTCCCAATTAAATTCATCAAAGCTGTGTCAAAATGTATCTCTGCTGCTTTGCCCGCTTCAAAGCATTATGGTCCATATGTTTCTGCACTCTACAACACCAATCAGGCCGAGTATAAACCCGAGGCGGTAGTTTGATATTTGGTCCACATGCACATGCTTTCTTAGCACTTCAGTTTGCGTCATCTGAGTTAACCAGCTGACAAAAACACGCCAAGTCGTCTTGAACTTCCACACATCTGAGCACTGGTGGTGATGTAGTTAATTATCTGCAACCTGGTGTCCATCTGTGTTTTGCGTGCGTGTGTGTGTCTGTCACAATGAGAGGCAAGAGGCTGGAGGCTGGATAATCTGGGTTTACAGATTAGAGCAGCAGCGTTGAGGAGCAGGGGAGAGAGGGAGGAGGAGTTGGGGGGGAGGCCATGTGGACGCCACTGGACAATTTCACTGCTCTGTCTTTCCTGAGGGAGGAAGATGAAGAAGGATGCTCTGAGATGCTGCCATGTTGACCGATTTTTCTCACCTCTATTTTACCAAACAAGGCCCTCACCATCTAAGTGCTTGAATTCTTTTAAAGGCAGGATGGTTTCTTGACTTTTTTGGGGATCTTATTTTGAACAATTTGTGGTGGTTTCTACTGGGTCATTTCAAAGGACAAAAACAAGCTTTGACCACAGGTATTTCCAATAAGGCACTGCCCTTTTTTTAAACCGTATTCTTGAATTTTCTTGTGGTCACTCTTGGGTCCTGTTTTTACAAGCTGCCAGGGTGTCCACCATAGAGCCAACAGACAGCCATGCAGAATATGTTATATGCAAGATAATAGCCTTATGCTGCAATAGTTCTTTGGAATATTTGTTCTGGAGTTAAATCTTGTAATCTAACACTGTGCATAGCCTCCTTTTGTCAGGCAAATTAATGCAAGTCAATAGGATCCCCTGAGACTGGGAGAGGAAAGACAAAAACAGGAGGAGGAGATTGAGGAGGGACGGAGGGGGATTCGGTCCCCCGTGGGTTGCAAACCCCTGTCCTATCATCCTGCAGAGAGGGGGAAGCCTATTGAGGGTTTGGGAGCAAGGGGGAGGTCTTCTACACACAGACCCTTCACAGACACCCCACCACCTCAAGTGGAGGGTCCAGAGAGAGAGGGTGAGGGCTGTTCAAGAAAGAGGAGGAGTTGGATCCTGGATAGAGCAGGCAAGGGTGGGTGTAGGGGGTGAGGGGTAAGGTCTTAGGCGGTGATGATCACATACGTGCAATGCCTCTCCTCGGGGCCGGTGGTCAGCTGCTGGCACAGTGCCTGCTATGTGGACCCCTCCAGTGAGAAGAGAACTCTGTGCTCCTTTAAGCCCACCAACAAGATGGGCAACAGCCTCCAGCCAGAGGCCTTCCCCGGCCCCAGGCCTGCCAGGATGGAGGGTTGTCTGCGCAAACGTCTGCTGTCGGTGTCAAAGGTCTACCAGAAGCCGGACTCTCTGTGGACACCCAAACCTATGCTTGGACCCAACACCAAAGGCTCACCTGGGAAAACACAAACTTACCAGGATGGAAAAGGTACAGACTAGAGAGTAGAACATGTTCTCTGCTGTTGGGTTTGTTTGCTCAGAGTTTTGATTTTCATACAAATTAAGTTTTGTGCAGCTTTAGAGCTTGACAGCCCCTAGATTTGACAGCATCTCTTTCATTAAAAGACAGTAGCTCATGGACGTTCTGATCACTGGGATCCTACCCACAACTTTAGAGCAGGACTTCCTAGGTATTGGTCTCTAGGAGCCTCTTAGTAAGACTTAGCGGCCTTAACATGACAACACATAGCTGTTTTGCTACAGTAACGTTTGGTGTATTTGTTTTGGCTGGGAAACAGGCTCCAGTGTTTATAAGTCACCTGAACAGTTTGTGTGAAATAATTACACGCTGTATGTCACTGTGCTAGAGAGCCACGACACTAGCAGTTGAGGCTTTTCTCAAGCCGGGCTTTGTCGCTTCTTATTAGGTGATTTCCATCCCCCTTTTAACTCAGGTGATCTGTGCCGTCTGTGTCTGCGTGCGTGCATTTTGCTGGGTGTCCCATGCGGCATCAACGCAAATTGTGGCTTTGTGACCTCTGTGACCCTTGGCCTCTGATGGATTGACAGAGGGTCCTGAAGGCAGAGAAACACTTTCATGAGTACTGTCACTTATTCCTAAATACATCACAATAACACTGTATTACTTACTTATGTTTATGGCACTTATTTGCATATTTAAAGACCTTCTTACTGTGCATGGGCAAGCATTCATCCACTTTTGCTCATATTACTTGCTCATATCATCAATGTAGCCTCTTGTGTCGCGATTCGATTGTGTATGCATGCTTGCACCAAGAAGATTCATTCTCTTGCGGGACAGTAGAATATCCTGAGGATGGTCACCCTTGGGAACGAGACACAATAGCTAGCAGCTGGAGGTGATGGGCCAGGCCTGCAGGGAAGTGTAACAGAGCTGACAGTATGGGGGTGATGGAGCTGACACCGCTGGGGTTATGGAGGTGACCCACTTTCACCTCTGCCACTACATAAAGGAGCCATAAGGGAGATAAGAGAGAGCTGAAGGATAAAAGAGTGGCTGAAAGAAATGCTGTTGACCTGTGTTTGTGTTTCTTTCTTTTTTATACTGTTCCTTTGACATATTAGTGACTGCTTATACTTCCAGAATACAAAGCTCAATGTTATATTTGAATTAAGTTCATTAGAGAAGCAGGGCCTTCCTAGTAAAACAACTTTTCTAACTTTTGTTTACTGTTGCTGTCCCAAATTGACTCACTGTCTATCCATCCACTTATCTAGTAACTACTAATGTCCTTCTGCATGTATGCTTATCTAAAACCAAATCCCTTATTCCCGTGCATTTAGCGTAACAATACTCTGCCAGACGAGCATGGCCTGTCCTCACGCCTACTTTGGCTAACGTGCCGTGACAGCTCAAGATGTCGCCGCCATGGGTGCGGCATTGTCTGGGCTCTGTAGGCTGAATCAACCTACCAGTCACTCTGTGGTCATGCACTGATGATCAGACGACCCTCATAAACACACACATGCACTAAGGATGTTTGGCTAATACTTTTTGTGTATTTGTTTGCATCTTCCTGTGTGCATGCAGTACTTCTCCTTTTTATTCCCACGTTACCTGATTCTATACTTATCTTAATAAATCAAATTTATTTTTCTTTTAGTAGAATTGAAATGGCATCTTTGTGTCCCTTGGCTTCTTCTCCCATCCTTCTTTAGTTTATATCAGTTTAGAGGTGGAGCAGCTGTTCCACCAGATCCCCCAATAATCCTTTTCTGGGAAGGCAGGTTCGGTTATTGACCTGTCAGTGCCAATGGCTCCCCAGGGAGCAGCACCTGATGGAGGCCAGGCTTGTAGAGTAACTAGATGAAGCCAAATGAAATGGATTGGTTGCATTTATGTGGGGAAGCACTGCTGAAAATCAGTTAGGGTAATATAATTGGCAGTGGGAATAGGGGAGGAGGGGGCTTCAGCTCTTTGTTACCATTTTCACTTCAGACACAAATATATCTGGTCAGTTGCAGGTGGAGCAATCCAGCATTTTAACAGTTTGGAGTCATGGCAGTGCAGGATGTTAGAAGAGAGTGGCCAGAAAACAAGAAACATAAACTGAAGTGTGTCCTTTTTCTTTATAAGCCCAAGAGAAAACTAATGTAGCCTGACCTGAACCCACCAGGCATTTTGTTTTTTATGTCCGACCCCGATCCAAGCCTGATGCAGTTAATGTAAGCTGATCTGAGTTTGTGTTCCCATGTCCCTCACATGCTATAAAGATGAAGGACACGCCTCCAGGTCCTTCCACTATTCAGGAAACAAGCTTGAATATCCTGGATACAAATCTTACAATCCTACCGTCTTACGCAGTTGAAGCCAAAGTCTGCGCAGTATCTGAGGATGGAACAGAGATTACGAGGTCCTGTCGATAAAGTCTGTTTCTTAATCTCGTCCTCTAAATGTTTTGAGACAGAAAACTATCAAGCTAAATATCAATATCTGCCCCATTACTCTCAATTCATGTTTGGGTTCAGGACAGTGTTTGTCTCCTCTTCAATTAAGGGAATTTGGGTGCGGTGGGACATTAAAAAAACAAAAAACACAATGAGATTCGTTAGTGGCCCTTTCACGGCTAACACCTTCACTCTCGCACACACACACTCAAACACAGATGAGTAAAGACAAGTGCACACTTAGTCCTGAATGTGCATGGAGCCCCCCAGTAGCACGTTGGATGTGGACAATGGAGCAGAGAGCATGACACACAGCCTAATGAGATGGAGAAAAGAAGAGGATTTCACCCACACACACACACACACACACACACACACACTTTTGTGAATAGGGGGTCAGTGGTTGGTTAGGGCCACTCAACTGTAAAATGGGTTAAGGCTGTGTTTTCCTTCAAAGCCACTCTGTCTGACTCAATCTCCATCTCTGTCTCCCTCTTTATCCCTGTTTTCATTGATTAAATCTTCAACCTGGTTTGTGTGTGTGTGTGAATGAGCGCATGTCTGCTTGTTTGAATATACAGGCGGCTGCAGTCCAGTCGTCCACATCCCTGTAGACATTCAGTCAAATAAGAGGTGATGGGTAATAATTGGTGGGTAAAAGCTTTCTCTGTATCTAACAGACGGAGACTGAAGGTTTGTGATTGGTTGAACAGGTGCTCTTCCATCATGTGTGACCAACGGCTAATGAAGCCATCACTGACAAATACTGAGAGCTAATCGAGTTGTGTGGAGTTGTGTGTTTGCCTGTGTGTGTATATTGTGTTCCTACATTATGGCTGTGTCACGTTTTTTCTTTGTCCATAGCTGCAATCCATTTATTGTCTTGCCTCAGATAGACAGTCTCAGGTAAATTTGCTGGTTTTGTCCCACCAATCATTCACAGTGTGTTGCAAATCCTCTATTTACTTGAGAGGATTTTCTTCTTGCAGCTCTTTCTCAAGGATACTGCTATTAGCACAATAACACTACAATTAACACCAACGTGGAACTGAGAACACTCAGCCTGGCTCTAGTAAAGACGATAGATATATACTTTTTAAGATGAGGTGACATTTAGAGGTTTATTCTCTACTTCACTACTTCACCTTATCTTGAATTAAGAGTTATTCTGATACTTGGAAATGTGTCCATATTCGTGGTACTTGGCAGTGTTCTGTAATTTTATTCATTATTGTCTCAAAATGTCTTAAATGTAACTGTAGTTAGGCTTCTTTTTCTTCTGTTCATTACAGTCAAAGCTACTGCTGCTTGTATAAGTAAAGCACAGAACTGTCTGATTGGTGGTTTTTATACTTTCAACAATCCTCACATTTCTTAATACTCTTAGTTTAATAGGTTTTCCATAATCCAGGGAAGATTTGGTTTATTTATTTACCCCATAGATTATCATATGATTTCTCAAAATAAATTAAAACATTAGACAGGAAGCCTTCAGTCCATTAAATCCCAATTTTTTCAGGTCATTTAAATCAGCCCAGATGTCACACAGTGGTTGCAGTAAAGGAAGCTATAGCTTGTATTTGTATTTTCCAGGGAAGTGGTTTTATCTTTCAGCACAAGTGTGTCGTTCGCTTGACAAATTGTTGTAACAGATAATGTGGTCAGATTAATAGAGTGGGCCTGGCCACAGCTGGCTTTTCATTTGGGAGACTAGAAGCGATGGAGGAGGAGGAGAGCGGAGGGGGGTTATTCAGGGAGAGTGGTGTTTATTTCTGGAGGGATCAGGTGTAATAGAGCCTCAGAGCCCCATATGTGTACAATTGAGTTTTATTTAATGGTTTGATTATCACTTAAGGACGTGAGAGCAAGATAATCACTGGAATCTACAGAGACATTTATCTTCCCATTGATTAAATGTGACAAAGGAGAGGGATGCAAGGAGCTGAGAGAGGATTGGTCAGTTTAATAATGAACTTATCTTACCTACTCTTACCAAAATAAATACACCCATCATACTTCTGGTATCTTATACTTTTTTGTGTCTTTCCTTCGTCCTTCACTCACTCAATGACCATCCAAATGTGTGCAGTGTGTTCCTGTTGACATAGAGAGCCTCCTGCAGGTTAGGTTCATGTACTGCATGGTGTGGCACCCAGACTCTGGGAGAACAAGAAAAAGATGGCTTAGGATTGTTCCATGTGTGTTTGTACTCATTTGTGTTACCTTTTTAGGCCCTTTAAAAGTATAAACACTGACTAACTCAGGACCAGCAGACCTCATGGAGACCAAAGCCCGGTCAGATTGAGGCCAAACTTAATTTCTGAGGTTCTGGTTAGGGTTAGGGATACAGTTTTGGTTAGGCTGTAGACAATTAACGGTAGTCTTTGCAAAGTCCTGATAGGGATGGCAGCACAAACCTCTGTGTGTGCTTCCATCATGTTCTCTCTTTTGATCTCATATTTGAGCATGCAGTCATGTGACACATCTATTTGTCCCATTAGCAACTGCATAAAACACACACTGACAAAAACATGGCAGCTTCTTCCATTGTATCAAACA